GTTTTCCCTAACAGAAAGCAAAATTTCACGCACACTCTTTGTTCCTTCTGGTCGGCCATCTCACTAATTGCCAAAGGGTTGAAACAGGAATGCACACAACAGAGCACCACAGACAAACCACTTAACTCAGACTGACGCCAGCTCACTAACAGTCGCGGGAGACCCCCAGCTGACACCACCTAGCAGCACAACTCGTAACTACAAAGCATGCACACGCAACAGGTCGTTTCCGTTTATTTTTGGGTCCCCCTTCGTATGTTGGCCATGTATTTTTGCCTGATAGCTTTTAGTAGCTGAAACATATAGCAGAGCCAGACTTGGTACTGACCTTAATATAGTTGTGTTGTGACGTTTTAATATAGAAATTATACATTTTCACTNTACATCTGCTTCACTACATACTCTTCCCCCCTTGTCTATGCTACCGAAATATACATACAGCGTGAGAGAAGAGATTTCAAGAGTCCTTCAAGCATGCATAACCAGTTATCATGATGAAAACTGCAATCTGTGATGCACTGAGAATTCATTTGTAAAAAATGAGGAACATTATTGCGACATTACCTAGCTATACACACTACAACAGCTAGCTTATGCTAGAATAAAACCAATTTCTTTAAAGTGAGAAATATTCTGGGAAAAGAACTAACGTATTTCATAAAACACTTCCTTCTATTTATGATGCCTCCTAATTCAACTCAGCTGCAAAATTATTCCTTTGTATCATATGTAAATATTGCAATAAGTACCTCTACCAAACACATGCAGTGTGATAAACTGTATGACCTTCAAGCAAACAACTTGTAAGATACTGTGTCACTGTTCCCCCACACTCTACACCTTGTGTTCCATTAGAACGTCAGCGACTGCAACTACCATTTCACTTTCCCTGTCTAAAATTGCACATAGGTTCCTATTTGTACCATTACTGCCAACATCAAAATGTGAAATTTTCAATACATGTGTAACCCACTGATTACCACTTGCTTATCATCAAGAAGAAATAAAACTGCATCCAATGTGTGTTTCCATCTCAGACCACTTTTCCTTTACTCATGATTGAAGGGCAGTGGCTAATGAAGTGGAAAAACAAACAGGAGGAATTAGATGTACAAAATGATCAATTACACATAACAGAATTCAGTTTCGCTGTCAACAAAAGCTGGGATATTTGAAATATTAACATAAGGAATACTATTCACTTGCACACAACATGCAAAAGGGAAAGGAACTCATCCTTCAGGGAACAAGACCACTGAGACAATAAGGGAAGAAACCCAGCCTCTATGCTGTGAACTTTATCAATGAAGAGTTAATCAAATTATCACTAGAAATCTTTGAAGGGTGGATTACTTGTGCTTCAGTTGGTGTTTCTGTACCTCAATGTCTTGTTCAGTCCTAATACCTTCCTCACTCTTCTGAAAGCACTAACTCACCATTATCATGGTTTGCTTAATTCTACCTCAACTGTCCAACCTAATTTTCATTCATATAAAGCAACTTACAACTGAAAAGAAAACAGGAGAAGATTTCAGAATGACATGAGTTATCGTAACTCCATCTACTGTGCGAATAAGGGTCGGTCACTGTTATTGATAACAGACCATGTTATCAGTATGAAGTTACTACATTCTACTTTCAACATAGTTCCAGTATTCACATGCCAGTGAGATATTCAGACATACTTCTACATGGGATTTTTCTCCCTTCATGTTTCCTGCACAAGTTATAGCGTACCCTCGTTCAGAGAGTAGATTGATTTTATAACTGTGTTTTAGCATTAAAATAAGTTCAGCATGACATAAGTAACTATTTTTATGTAAAACTGTAACAGTAAAGGATATTCACTAACAAAATTATACTTTTTGATCTATTTCAATAATTTTAAACTATAAAGGGAAAAATACTCCACATAATACGAGGGGGTACCCAAAAGAAACCGAACTTATTTTTTTTAAACTTATTTATTCAAATTTTAAGCAAACCTTCAATCCCCTTCAAAGTACTCTCCACTTACACTAATATACTTGTCTAGTCTTTTATTCCATTTTTCAAAACATTGTCTAAATTAATCTTTTGAGATGCTTGACAGCGCCTCCGTCGTTTTTTCCTTTAATGTCTCTTTTCATTTGAGGAAACAAAAAAAAAGTTGCATGGGGCAAGGTCGGGTGAGTATGGAGGGTGAGGAACAGGGGTCATACCATTTTTGGTCAAGAATTGTCGTACAGACAGGACTGTGTGAGCAGGGGCATTGTCATGATGGAAAAACCAGTCACCCGACTGCCACAAATCTGGCTGCTGAGCTCCAAGTCACTCCCGACAGCTCCACAATTTCTTCATTGGTCCGTCGTCGATCTTTCTTGATGANGCCATTGCAAAAACGATGATCACACAAAACAGTTGTCACTATAAACTCTGCCGAAACTAGTCCTTACCTTCTGAAGCAACGGTAGTCAGCTTATCGACTCAGGAATGTTATCTCTATGCACTCATAGCGGCAAAACGCGGTACTACAAAAGCTCTGCCCACAAAAAAATTAGTTCGGTTTCTTTTGGGTACCACATCGTACAACTTTCATTTGGCAGTATGAATACTACCGATACCTTATATGAGAGCAGTTACCAACTTTCATAGTAAATGCATCTAGAAATTAAACAATCTTTTCTTCCATACATGTATTTGGCACAAGCATATTGCAATATATCAGCAACTTTCTTTAAAAATAGTCCACTCACAAATAAGCATACAACTGAGATGAACTTCTTTTTAGGTATGACCATGTAAGAATGACAAGAGAAATGAACAAAAGGCAAATAAGAAACACTGACACAACAAAATACCAATTCAAATTTCTTTATCCTTGATGTATAATAGTGTCAATGTTAAGTAACCTCTCTTGCAGTCTTCTAACAATACAAGAAAACTGTAAGCACAAGTTCATGAATGAATCTGCAAACTACCCTGGATGGCATTATCGGCACATATGTGGTGAGGGGTTAAAATAATGGATGGGGTTTGGATTGTCAACTGGATTTGTTGAACACTTTAACATGCAACTCTTGACTACACTTTACAGATCCATCACACACACCCGTGCTCGCTCGCACGCATGCGCACACACACACTCTCTCTCTATGTTCTCAGTCTGTTACAGTCTCCACTAGATGTTGCTTCATAGCAGCTTTCAATGGCTGACGTTCCCCTTCCTCTGGGTTTCTGAACTGTTCCTGTGACTCAGCTACCAGCTTTTCACAACAGCTAACAAGGACTGAACTGCAGTAGTCCTGTCACTCACCCACTCACTCACCAGTCAACTCTGTCCATTCCACTATCACTAATTGTCCTGCTTATAACATCTCGGCACAGACTGCACAGAAAACACCATTCCTCTGCTGTTTGCGAGCTGCTGCCTACCAACGGCCGCTGTACAGTCGCTTCTCTTGTGGTCCCCCCCTAGCAATGGGTCTATATGCCTCAACATTTTGCTACACAACTGAACCCAAACAAGGTCAAAATAAAAGATACATCTGTACCTCCAGATATGTTTAACAGTTTATCTGCCAGTCTTTCAAGAGATGTATAGCAAGCCATTCTATGGCTGTGTCGTAGCGCAAGCAGTTAGTCACTGGCTTTCCACTGCAGCGGTCCATGTCCGAGCCCGGGTCTGGTCAAATGGGGTCTGTGGTGGACAAATGGCGCTGGGGCAGGTTTACTCCAAGTACTTCGGTTTCCCCTGCCAATCTTCATTCCACCAATTGCTCCAAAATCACCCTCACCTATCAGTGGCTGCAGTACAAGGGACTTAGTCCCACCCCACTAGCAAAAAAAAAAAGCCATTCTATGGATCAATTTATAAGCACACCTGTAAGAACAAAGGGCAACAATGACAAATGTCACAATACCTAATGATGGCCAAGATTTTAGAAGACTATCTCCTGAACATAAGACAGCAGCATTATTGCATTGAATTATTTGGTCATGCTTAAAGAAAACAACCTTCCTCCATTTTATGATATGTGAGATTGCCATGGTCCTGAGAATTAAAATTATAGTATTCCTGGATACAATGCTACATAGTTTGGTAGGCAGTACCAATGTTTTGGCAAACCCTCTCTCTATTTTAAATTATATCGAGATGAAAGCAGCAGGTTCCCTATAATGGTTGTACCTATCAGCCGAACTACACAGTGTCACATTCCAGAAGACTAAAATCATTCCCTTTGTTCCTTTATTAAAGGACTAAAGTCTTACACCCCTTATTCATGAGTTTAGCTCCACTTTCAGATGGCAAGTTCATCCTAGAAATCAGTGCTTCTAATTCCACTGCCCATAAATACCTACAAAACTTGCAGTAGTCAAGATATTATATCCTCTACGAGTACATTACTCTTATTGTAAAATAATTTGTAACACAACCCAGTTCGTTCAGCAGACCATATTCTTTGGCTCATTCTACTCCAAAACATTGGTTATTTTATGCTTCTTCTCTGATTACATTCAATCAATACTGAACAATATATGGATATTACATCCGCAGCATAAAATTTATTTGCAGAACTACACTGATATTTTACATTTAAATGGTACAAGAGATGTGCTAAAGTTGATATGTCTGGTGAAATTAAAACTATTAATAATGTATGTGAAAATGAAATATCTATAATTTGTGAGGTAATCTATGTACAAATCAATAATAATGATTTATTATATCAAAATGGTATGGCACATGCCAAGAATAATGTCTGTTGATCCAGAAGTAAACAGTTCTTGAAGATACCATCACATGCAGAGCCAGCATATAAGAATTAAAATTATATTGTGAATCATTATAAAATTTAAATATCTCTGTAAGGCAACAATCCGGACGGTCTTACTTTACATAAAAGCTCAACACAAATCATCACTAAAAATATTTTTCACACTCTACTGGATTTAATACATTTCTTTTACAAGCACAATAATTGTGTAAGTTTTAAAAAAGAGCTACAATGAAGCCCACACACTATGGTGGGCCAACACCTGGTCAGGACATTGCACACTATTCTTAATTTTCTGTAACTGACATTACATAAAATATCTCTTATTATGTAAATTATAAAAAAATACTATAATTAAAATTCATCTTAAAATCTATTAGATCATCCTATTATTTGCCAGCTATCATGAATGATTTAACATCCTGTAACACAAAGGAGAGAGAAACTACAATTATCCTCCTCCTGAGATCAAGTCCTAACCAGAGAACATTTGACCTGTCATGGCTTTGAGCATATCAAAATGTGCTTCACAGTGGTTAAAAGACTTTTGGTATGACATGATACTTAACACGGTTGCAGTAACGATCCCACGCCGCATTGTAACGCTGTTTACATCGCCAATCATTCCTCTTAGCTCTGTGAAGCAACAGCAATGTTGTGAACAAGGGCACCATCACGTAGGGCAAAGGATGAACAAGACCTACAAAAGAAGTTAACCTTGACAATACATATTGTCACATATTATGGGTGTGACTAAAGACAGGATTTGGATTGGTGAATGGATTTATTGACCACTTATGCCGCGTGACTCGGAACTACAAGTAACTAACAGTGCCACTACTTATCTGCACAATTCACAAATCATCACAGAACCCACTAAGCCTTTAACACCCTGATATGTCTTCACCAACCATTCCCTGGTAACAGCTTCTAACAGTGGAAATTCTTCAACGTTCCATGCTCAGGTCCTTCCTTCACAGACTTGAGTACAGAACTGCCTGCCAGCTCTCTCTCTGGAACTCAACTGACTCTGCTTATAACATTTTGGCATTAACCACATAGAAAACACCATTTCCACTGTTATAGCCCAACACCACCTCGACTGTTGCGTGCATGTTTGTTGCCGTGGGAATGTGTTTACTGAGCTGTTGCCTACAAACTGCTCTGGTATATCTGCCCATCTTGCAGTCATTACATAGCAACAGCTATCCACACTACAATATGAACACATCACAATAAGAAGAAAGTAAAATTAAATGTTAAGTATCTGTAAACTGGTACGCAGCAAATGAATATGGCAAGGTGTCATCAGATACCCCTCCCACCAATATAAGAAGTTGGGCTCCGCCATAGCTGAAGTGGGTAGTCGCTGGCTTCCCACCGTGGCAGCCCCAGCATGATGCCAGGTCTGGTAAAGTGGGATTTATGGTGGACAAAGTGGCACTAGGGCAGGTTTTCTCCCAATACTTCAGTTTCCCTTGCCAATCTTCATTCCACCAATTGCTCCACCCTCACCTATCAACTGGGGCTGGTACAATAGGACAGAAGTGGCTGCAGTACAAGGGACTTAGTCCCACCCCACTAGCAATAAAAAAAAAGCATGCTAATGAGAACTTTTGATGTTTCAGGATGCGAAGGATCTGTTAGATGTCCAGAAAACACAGGCATTGTCAT